GCATGCCTTCGTCACATGATCCATTGTACCGTTGTGAACATTGTCACTATTTATCATAACATTTGGCCCAGTACATGAACCAATACAGTAGTTGAAACTGTTTTTAATGATCTGTTCCATGTGTCATTCTATGCCATCATCTGTCATCCCTTGACACCTATTATTTAATTCAACAATTATTCACCTTTTGTTTAAAATGTCTCTTGCTTTACAATATTTTTGTCATACTACATCAAAAGCATTACCGGTATTGATTTCAATTTGATAAGATACCGGTATTGATTTTTCTCATCCCTGGAGAACTTTCATTATTCACACAGCTGATGCTTCTTTTTCAGAGGCTCTCATTGTGTTCATTCACATTGTAGACATTGTCTGCTTCTTCCTTTTATTCCTTAATCACTTAATCTTCTATTGTGAAAAGTTCTCCTTTCATTTGAGAAGTAGCCTTGTATCCAGACAGTGTACTGTATGTAAATGGCAGGGAATAATTTTCCTGGTATCGCATCGCAATTTGCTATGCATTTTTGCATGACTGCTATACAAAATATCTTTTGTGTAGCAGTTTTCTTCCATAGAAATGTACAGAATTTCATTTGACATATTTATCCATGGCCTGAAATTGCTAATCAAAAAATTTGAGGAAAATTATTCCCTGAATGGGGTCAGGGACAAACTCACTCTCTGAAATCTTCAATAGCGAGAACCCCTAAACACAATTTCTATTTGTGACCGAGTGCTTCAGAAGTTTTAAGCTTGAAGGACCTACAACATGTGCATGTACTCTATGTGTACTGTACATGTACACATGTAGATTTGTGAGCATATTTGAGTTTGATTTTTCATTGAGCAAGCATTATTCATGCTGTACATGAACACTCTTTTTTGACAATCATGTACATGTCCAGTATGTGTATACATGTAACTTTTCTTGCTTATTGCTGGTCAACTATTAAAAACAAAATCTACTTTTACAGCATACAGTGCCGTACATAATGCACATGTACATGTATGCCCTCATAATAATTAAAAAACCAAACTTAAAATAAAAACAAAACTACATGTACAGTACATGTATATGTACTAGTGTATTTATGAAAGCTTAAACTATAATTTGTTTGGTCTAAATTGAAGAATAACAAAATACACACAGGTAGACCTACATGTACTTCATTAACCCCCATCCCCCTCCCCCTCCTCCCCTCCTCCCCTCCCCCTCCTCCCCTCCCCCTCCCCCTCCAACCAACAAATTATCTCTCTCTCTTTCTCTCTCTCTTTCTCTCTCTCTCTCTCTCCATTTTCATCAACATTTACATGTACATGTACATACTGTACAATATACCGTTTTTGCCTCTGTAAAGGCCGCAGTATTTTTGGAAGAGAAAATATCAAAAAGTCGGGGTGCGGCCTTTGCGGCGAAAGAGTAAAAAAAAATATTAAAAAATCGCAAGTCAAAACAATGAAAAACAGCACAAATCTGTACATGTGGGACAACAATGAAAGGTGATGGACATTTCTACAATAACTGTCTAGAATAACACATGTCTTACCGACAATTTTGTGTTATGAAGGGCAAAGTTTGTCAATCTCGTAAATAAAATTCATAACTTCCCAACCAAACTCTACTGGTAGTGGTAGATCTAGATTTAAGTTTTTGCCATAGCTTAAGCAACCTCAATCCTCTCAGCTCGCGCGAGCAAAGCTATGGCGCAATACACAAGAGAAAGCTGAAATAACCGGCCATCTGGCTTGTTGCCCATGGTGTCTCAAAAAAAATATATCCATATTTAATAAATATTTTTAAAATAAATGTTGTTAAAGTCTAAAAAATGTCAAAATCGGGGGTGTAGCCTGTGCAGCCTATGCGGCGCAGCAGCCTTATCAGGCTTCCTCCTAATCCTACATTTGTATATCAGTGTAAATGGGCTTCAATATCTGAGAGCAAGACTAAATGTTTTTACCAGTACAATAGAACAAGAAGCCTTTTATGATGTACCAGTATTGCTGTCAAGCAACCACTTGTTCATGCGACATGTAGGACTGCTGACTTGATGATGCAATAACTACCCCCCTTTATACACTGTAGACCCAACCCCTCCAGAGCCTGGGCAAATACAGTAATGTATTGTATTCGGTGAAAGTATTGTTACAGTAGTATTGCCGATATAATTCATCAAAGGCACTTCAAAGTGTTTTTGAGATACTTGTAGAGGTACATTTACAAGACACAGGTATACATGTTAGTATATAAATGTCATGTACTGTACATAATAATAATAATCTTTTAAAGTCCACTCCAGATTTTATTAAACCGAAAATGGAAATACTTTACTTGTACATGTACATGTACATGAACTTGTGCATCCAGAGTTTAAGATGACAAGATTCCCTCTACTTCTTGAGAAAGAGTTGTCTGGAAATTATGTCTTTAACATTTGACAGTTCTATTATTATCGGATAATGGACTCATCTCTATAATGATATTAAAAACTCAATTTAAAAAGGTAATTGTGTTTGAAAGAAAAATCCAACGCACCATTGCATTTCCGTGCGGTGGGACCTGCAAAAACATTTCCCCAAGTTTCAAAGGGGTAACAAAGATTATGTGCAAAACAAAAGCACACCTACATGTATAAACACATACAGTAATGGAAAATTCCATTGTGACACACCACCCTATTTCAGCCAATCACAGGTGAGTATCGGTACTGCTTGTGTTCCAAGTGCACGTACACAGTTTGCATCCATAAGCGACACATTCAAGTTCATCTGATGTCATAGAAAGTGCATTACGACAAAGTATTGCACTCATAAAATATCCAGTTACCAAAAATATTGAATGCATCCCTCGATCAGTCCCTACTCCCTCACCCATTGAATCTTTCTATTGATTTACCCCATACTGTAAGTAGTGTACAAGTACAAAGTTGTATTATAACTAAACATATAAACCTGTAAAACGTATAAACCTGTAAACAAAATGTTACAAATCAAGGATATCATTTCTAAAATCATAATTCAAATCATGAGAATCCTCATTTGATCTTAATGCGCAATTTTTGATCCCCCCCCCCCCCCACAAAAAAATATATATTTAAGAAAAATGAAATGTGTACATGTACATGTACATGTACAGGTGTATGTATACAATTTTTTTTTAAATGTAAGAAATACACATACATGTAAATGTACAAGTACATGTAAGTGAATTAACATACTAAATTTGAAACCAGTTGCCTGTCCAGGTGCCTACATGTACATGTACATTGTAGATCACCCAGGGGTGCGAGTGGAGCATAACAAAAGAAAGATTACCCTGTTTTGTATTAAATCCATGATCTGAATGGCTTTTGAATGGAGACTGGGTACACCTGCAAATGAGGTCTGTGATTAAAGGTTACTCGTATTTAATAAGGCCATCATGCAGTTTAAATGACCTGTGTCTTTCAACTTCAACTTCATGTTGATTTTAAATTTGAGGTGTTGTGCGAATGTGAACATCTCAATCACAACAACCCCTTTATACTTGTGATGGAGGCTGATTCCTTTAGCTTCCATTCACTTCCAGCTTCCAGTCCACCCCTACCCTCATACATGTATATGTACCGGTACAAATGCACACCCTTTGCTTTCGGTCTGACTTCATACGATGATGGACTTGCTGGTAAAATACTGTACATGTGTATGTACATTTACATATGCACATGTATGTACTGTACATCTCACTACAAGCATGACAATCATTCAAATAAATACAAAGGCAACAAGAAATGAGAATATTTAGGGCTTTTCACCCCCAACAGTCCCATACAAATTTGCTCAATAAATGCTAAAAAAATATACTATTGAAAACATTGTACATGTACATGTACTGTACATGGTGATGATATCAAGCATGAATAAAATGACCCAAATGCATTGTACATGTTAAAATGAATATTTTCTTCTCTATTATGATGATTATGAGTGCACCTATTGTTACATGTACATAGTGAGCCCCATACCGTCCGCCTCACAACCGGGAGGTAGTGGGATCGAACCCCGGCCGCGTCATACCAAAAGACATTAAAAGACGGGAGTTGCTGCTACCTTGTTTGGCGCTCAACAATAAGAAATAGAGCAACGTCGATCTGGGGCTGCTCAGTGGCTGCTCGGCTCACGATCAATTGGGCAAAAAGAATTTCCAATTTCTGTTTAACTTAATAAAATTTGGAGTGGACTTTAAAAGATTATTATTATTACTATTTATCAATTGCATATACAGTCCATGTATATTTTTATCTCATTAATTTCCCTTTTTTTCCCCAAAAGATTGATTTCCCCATGTCTTTGCCCAGGTTATACACGTATGATTTTTATCATATTGTAGAAAACAAGCATACATGTACTCCAACGTTTCATAAATCTTTATTTCTAATATTATTGTCTTTTTATATTGATTTCTCCTATTTATAGTTTATTCCTGTAGCTACATGTACATGTACATGTACACGTATCACACTTCACTGTCTGTTTAAAATGAAATACAGGGCAAAAATTTGTGAATTCTGACACTTGGGGTAATTTAGGGACAAACATTTAGAAAAGTTTACAGAGATCATCTTACAAAAATCCATAATCATCAAAAGAAATGATCATAAAAAATACATAATCATCAAAAGAAATGATCATAAAAAATACATAATCATCAAAAGAAATGATCATAAAAAATATATAATCATCAAAAGAAATGATCATAAAAAATACATCAAAAGAAATATCATCAGAAGCAGGGTGTGCATCATTGCATGACAGTGACTCAAAGTGTCATGTAAAAAAAACTTTCCAAATCTACATGTACATGTAAAGTAGTTCCCAATCATTCTGTTTTAGGTACTCATGTGTTTTCTGAAAAGAAAACTTAAGTAAATAATGAATAGCTTGAAATTGATATGTTTATTCGTCAATGATATACCTGAACTTTTAAACCCTTGAAATGTAAAGAATATTCGATAGCCTACCTTCACTCCTTGCAGTACTGCTTTACATCGCTCCCTAACATCACTGAAGGGGCACTGGATAGCCAGCCGCAAGATGTGAGCTAGGAAGCGGGTGGAAGTCACATTCTTGCTCAGTGCTGATTCAATAAGCGTTCCATCGGCACAGTGATCGTTACTGCCGATTCGCATACCGTCCCCTGTGCCATTCGGCGATCCATTGGGCACTAGTTCGCCACCGGTAACTTCTATTTCGGCCAACGCCAGGGAACGTTCAGTAGCGTCTCTCGTTGCTAGCCGAGTAAATAACCATCTCAACTCACTCTCTTCCATTCCCAGAGTCGGTAGTCCTATCGCTTTGCTATCCAAGTCTGTCTCTCCTTCTGTAATGCCCAGGTATCATGGGGATGAGAATGAAAGCACAAAAATCTATGGGGTCACTGTAAAGAAAACAAAAGAGACAAGATTTATCAAAAAATGCATATTACAATGTGGGGTCTACCGGTACAGACTAGTGCTGTAGCCAAACGTTTAACCGTCCGGTATCCGACCGCCCATGGCGGATTCCGTTTTCAATTGGACGGTTTCGTTTTCCCGTTTTTTGTTTTTGTTTTTTTTTTAATAATTTTTTTTTAATTTTTTTTTTTTTAATTTTTCGATTTATATCCACCTGGCACTATGCCTGGCAATGTCTCCCAGCTCAGTAATCTGTGTGTTGACTCACCACTCCAAAACTAGAACACTCCAATTTGTCTGTCATCTTGGTTTGAAAGTAATCTTTGTAATAGATCTCAATATGTAGTTTATAATAATAATTCATCCAACTTTAACACATGGCGTACCACAAGGTTCTATCCTAGGTCCTCTACTGTTTTCAATTTACATTAATGATCTTACACATTCTTCTAAAAACGACATTGTTACTATTATTTGTGACAAGTTCACAAGCACAAATCGGCGCCTTTAAATGCACCTCGCAGTTATTGTCCAACCCAGCCGACAGAGTCGGTCAAATTTTTTTTTTTTTTTTTTTTTAAATCGTTTAACCGAAAACCGTCCGGTTTTGGCTGGCAGTTAAACGGAATTGGAGATATCTGTGATGTTACAGCCCTAGTACAGACATGTACAGTACATGTACATGTACTATGTAGTACACTCAATATTTTGCATTAAAATTAGAAGTATAACCAGTAGAAACTAGACTGGACTACATTTGACCTTCTGTGTACAGTACATGTAATTCTGTTTAACTCCTTTTTATATGAAATTCTGATTCTCTCAGCATGCTCAGTATCATAATTCACTCACAGTTCCATTTCAAAAATCTGAAACCACCAATGGAAAGAGGAACATACAGGGTGTACATGTAAAATCACTAATGTAGTGCCAAAGTTTCCTCTAGAATAGGGTGTAAAATTATGAAAATATTGACAAAAGATCAGTAAATTGTACAGTCCTTTGCATCCATTCTGAAAAGGAAAAACATGTACTTGCTGGCAAGTCAAGGTCTGGAAATCTTCATTTTGAGAAAAGATGTCTTCAAAATTGGTGATGCCGGCCAATCGTATATTTTGCCTAGCAATTTATGCAATTACAGTGTACATGTATGATGGGTCACCTTTTTATAAAACAGTCACAGGTCTGTAAAACTAATAGAGTAATTCAGGCCTTAAATTTAAATATTTTTAGGGGAAGTCCACTTTTCTGTAGGGCACATTCCTAATTACAGTACAAATAGGAATAATTGGAAAGAGGACAAAAAATCTCCAAGGCCAATGAGAGGGGCATTGAGGCCAATCAAGGGGGCATCCAAGGCCATGGCCTTGGTGGCCTTGGATTAATTTAAGCCCTGGTAATTTAAATCTCTTGAATGCAAATTTAGGGCTTTGTGTTTTCATTACTGGTAGGCCTACTCTAAATTTCTTATCTTGTTTGCAATTCTGATCTGACATTGAATTTTTACATCTCAATATCGTTGGAATAAAAAATAACACAGAAATATCTACTCTGACTTACGATAGCTCGCTCATTTAGATCCGAAATTAATGATTAATTCGAGAAAGTCTCGTAGTCAACATGATTCATTGTCAGCCATCTTGGTTTTAGTAAATGAATATTCATTTTTTCTTTGACCCTGTGATATACAGGTGTATGAATATTCATAAACCCAATATTAAACAAGTGCTCTGATTGGCCATTGGCTATGTTTTGGTAGGTTGACCCGGAAATATATCGGACGGGTCATGTCAAAAATTAGATCAAATGAATGAACGGACCATTTCATGGTTCTGAGATAAAATTGGAAAACTCATACAGAGTAAAGGAGGGGGTAATCGACCAGCGACAGTTTTCGGCCGGTCCGTTGGATGCATGGTAAAAGCCCTTTAAAATACATCGCATAATAGCATATCACATATCCCACACATACCATAACATGCCATAGTCACTGAAGAACCACATTTGCAATGGAAAATATATCCTTAAATATCACATTTTAGCGATGTAATCGGCGTTCCCGCTTCCCGAATCTAAAAAAATCTAGTATCTTACGCGTGTCTGTAAGGAATATGGGTATCATAAAATGAGCTTCATTTAAAGTATTTTTCAGATTTAGAGCCCGATTTTGTGTGAGTCGCAAGCTCAAAAGTATCTCATCGCATGTATTACATCAATGCAGCCGGACACCGCAGCGCACACACGATGTCTCTGTCTAATTCAGATTCCAATTTCCGATCACCGCAAAGATAGTTTTCTGCAGGCGAGCTCCGAGAGCTCCGAGAGCTCCGGTGTGGGATACCTGCTCCGCCCGCTAGTGCTATAGATCAGCGGGGAAACGCACGGTGTGCATGCACGCTTCCTATTGACTTCCTACATGCGGCCTAAAACTGTCTCCCTATGCCGATAACTGTCTCCGAAACAGTGAAAATTGAAATGAATTATTGTCATGGCAATTCATGATTTTTTTTCTGGGATTCCTTTTTTGTTCAAATAATTATAATATTTGCTTAATGATTTGAACAAGAAATGATAATAAATAGGAATATATAGGAAGTAACAGGAAGTGGCCGAAAACCCCCTCCTTTAAAACTATATTGTACTACTATGTAGGCTAGATCTAGACCGAATTTTCCGTCTCTTTCGTTCGTTAGCCTCTTATTGGGGTAGGGTCGGCTCTCTCTTTAGAGACGGACACCGTCTATACACATTCCCTTGATAACGCCACGGCCATTTCAGGTCGTATCGTTATGCCCCCAAAATCCCCCAAAATGTCATTTTACCTCGTGTATATCCAATTGTAAATTAGGCCTAGGCTACAATACATCGGTTCCACTTACTAACTTGACTGAAATAATCTGTTTAATAGTCCCTTTTAAGGAAATTATGGGTCAAAATCTACATCCATGTTGAAAATCTTGCAAGCCGTGTTAAAGTGGCACGTTCCCGCCAGTGTAGTTATCGCTGCTCTAGTCATCGCCATCTTGGTTCCGAAGATCGACTTCTAATTTGCATACAGCTGTCAAGTACGCGCGGCCTGGCCTGCCTTCGCCAAGCCAGCTGATCGCTGACGATCGCGACGTCACGAAAGTGGGCGGAAACAGCAGCCGAATCTTAGAGCCGAACTGCGATTGGCATTACTTCGGCACATGTATGCGATAATCGGTATTGTCCGGGCATTCGGAACATGCCATCTGCGTAAGAGCCGTATTCTGTTGGTGTCAATAGGCAGCTAGCACCGTCCGCCAGCGGGTACGTATTTTGAACGCCCTCTGGAATACGGGGAACATGCCTCTTTAAACTCTCGCTGCGCATGGAGTCATCTAAATCAATCTCATCCCTTCTAGTCTACGCCGAAGGCAAAATGATTATGAAGGGAAAACTGTGCGCCATCTACACGTTCGTAATGGCATTATCACAGTTTTTCCTTCATTTATTATTTAGTAGGTTACCATTTGTGTATGGGGAATGTCAACAAATGTCAGACGGTTATTTTTGTCTAAGTATTAAAGGTCTCATTGTTTTTATGACTATTTATTTTAGTTGCAGCTTGCTTGCCAATAAGTGATCCGATGTCAAATTTTTAATTTTAGATCGGGATATCTCTGGAATCCTTAGACGAAAAGTTTTCTAGTTCAACCAATAAAATTTGTAGTTAAAAAACTTTGCCTTTCATTTGGTAATAATTGAAATAAATAAATTTGTGTAGAATATGAGAAATCATAGATCGAATATCACATTCTCTGATAACATTTTCAACATCTCAGATCTCTCATTTATTCTCTGTGAACTTTGTCATCTTCATTCATCCCTTCATCATCATAATCACCGTCCTTCTTTCACTCTGTGACCCATTTCATATTTAACAATGTAATAAAGGGTCTACATTTATCTAGAAACTACGTAAAGGAAAACATTAAAGTAACAGAAAAGGAGTGCCCAATTGCAATCTGAATCTTTGAGCAGGCGCCGCGCACTACCCTGTTTTTGCAGTTGTGGCTGCCGGAGCGGAGTGGGCGCGAAGAGGCTCATCGCTCTCACAGTCCGACTCCCAGTTTCTCTGTTGTCGCCGTGCTTAACAAAACATATCGCAGTCAAATAACACATCAGAATATTCGTATATTAATTGATTCAGGATGAAATGGAAGTCCATTGTAATATCATAAAATGAAAATGTAAATATATAGAAATATCCTTCAAATACTCACAAAATATCAGCATTTTATCAGAGGTATTTAGTTATAATTCCCACAGAAAATTGATTCAAGATCGATTGTTCATCACGAAAAGCTCGATTAATATTAACCTTTACAAGAAAGCGTTTCTTACACAAAATTTATATTATTATAGTAAAAATTTCTGTGTTTTGTATATTTTATAAATTTAAAGATTACCTTAATCATTAATAAATTATCAGAAATAAAATAAATGATTTTTGTGTTAACTCATTTTTATTACACACCGATTTATAATATTATACAGACTTGTGTAGAGGCTATGATAATTTGTGCAATAAATTTCTTTATAAGTATTTGGTGGTGGTTTATTTGTAATTCCTACAGATTAAAAAATTTAAATCACTGATCACGATGATACATTCCATTTTCCACTTAAATATAATTTCCAACTAGTTTATTCTAGTCATATGTATTCATATAGAGTTGGGAAAAGTCAAAAGAGTTATTTTTTGATAACCTATATTAGAATAACCGATTGTGCAAAATGAATATTCATTTTCTCTAGATTTGACCAATCAAAGCGGTTGGTGCGGGCTCCTGGAAATTTCCACTCGTCTCAATTCGTCTCAAGTCTGTGCGGTTAGAAATCGGCACTCGACACATCTCCTCCTCCTCTTCTCAAAATCTATCTAAACAACCATCCTATCTCTATTCCTCTATCCATATTCCTCTCTTCAATCTAAAGTAAACTTGGAATGGTTGACAAAACGGGAAGGGGGGGGGGGTCCAACTTTTAAAAGAGTGACAATTAAGACAAAGGCAGACAGACACAGAGGGCCGGGGATAGACAGACAAGAAAGACTAATTAAAGAAAGAATAATTAATAGTCAACCTCCAGTTTCGTCCATTAAAAAAAATGCAATTGTTATTGTTGTTTTAGAATGGGGGTCTTCCTCATCGACAGTCCAAATTATCATGTTGTCTATCTTAAGTTTAAAAAGCACATTTTGGTCAACATTTACATTCATGTATTATGAATTTCGAGTCCAAATTGATAACAGTGTGCCTTGCTAACATTAGTTTTGTTCCACTGAATGGCATATTTACAGTATTGTACAATTTATTTCAACAAATAAAGGCCCATTTTTGTTCATCCACTACTTTTGTTCAATGATCTTGTTAATCTCTTTAAGTTGCTCGACGAATTTTCGAACTTTGTCATAAATAGTATAAAAGGGTAGGCAATCGGGCCTATCATTATGTATCGGCTCGAACTTGTAAACCTTTCCAGAAATACCAAACTGTGACAGTTTGGAGAAAAAGAAAATTGTATCAGATCGACATAATTGTGTAATTGTGTCGTTTTATTTAGAATAGCAATGAGCTTTCAATTTGATTGCAACATAAAACCCAGGGATAGGATCAGGCAATGATTTATTAAATATAAAACTTGAACTTAAAAAGCTTGAATATAAAACTTGCGCTTTCTAGTATTGTGTCTTGTACTGTAGCTCAAGTTGTATTTCTTTTAAAGTTATTAGTTGTTTTTTGTACTTTCAAGCATACTGTAGAACTGGCAACAATAGTCAAATTTGAGTAATAGCCATTACAATACCAAACGAAGAAAAAGAAGCTATGGATTGTATTTTTTCTGTTGGATATTTTCCCATATTTTGAATCTAATCAAAACCGACTGACTCACGTATTTCCTTATATTCATATTTCAGGCTCAGATCATTTTGTCAAGTAAAGAAAAAAAAAATCGGTTGGAATTCTGTCAAGAGACAGAGAGAGAGAGAGAGAGAGAGAGAGACATGAGAGCAAGGGAGGGGTAAGAGAGAGAGAGAGAGAGAGAGAGAGAGAGAGAGAGAGAGAGGAGGAGAGATAGGGTGAGATTTAATAGTTGTCATCTTTCAACAAACTAGAAAAACTGTACTAGTGTTTACGCAGTTGAACAGAAAAATTAAAGTCAAAAGAAAGAAAGCAATAAGAAGTAGGAAAGATATATAGGAATAAAGGAATGGAAGGGAAAAAAAGGAAAAAGAAGTGAATGAAGAAAGAAAGAAGAAAAAGAAAGAAACCTCAAATATGTTGTCAGAGATGAGTTTGAGATTTGCCGCCCCCTTTTGGTAGAAACAATACAACTTTGATTATTTTCCTTACAAAAATCGTAAGATACGCATTCTTTGTGGTATTTCAGAATTCTTGAAAAAACAGTTTAGTCGTTAATTTATACAAAAGCGTGTTTCAAAATCATATTGCATTGACAAAGAAATGATAAATGATTGATTTCAGAATCTCCAACTTTGTTTCTCGATCCCCTGGGACAATTGGCGGGTGATAACGGACAATGAGATCAAAGAGACAGAAGGGGGAGACTGAGGCAAGGGGGTGGAATGATCGAGAGAGAGAGAGAGAGAGAGACAGAGAGAGAGAGACAGAGAGAGAGAGAGAGACAGAGAGGCAGACAGATAGACAAGGGGAAACAGGGAGGGGAGAAGAAAAAAAATGGAGATTTAAGATTCGTGGGAATGATGAACAGTGGAAAACAATACATCCATGAAAGAAAACCATGACAACAAATTCCTTTTCTACCCCTCACTTTGGACGGTATTTATTTCACAAGAGATTGACAAATTCAAGAATATTTACATATTAGAAGCGACACAATGCATTCCCTATTATACAAGTGGGCAAGCTCACACACAAAACATGATAATATAGATACATTTTCTATTTATTTTAGTGATGTTACAATGTTCAGTACTCAAAGGCTATATAATGTGAAAATTGTAATAAATCTAGTGCTGTGAAGTTCAATTTGCAAGCTGCTGTAAACCTGGATTACTTGCAACCTTTGAAAATTCTTTGAGTACTATAAAGCTGCATTTACAAACATTTAATATTATCTGTACATATACATTACCTATAACATTATCATCTGGTTGAAGTCAGATAGAGGGGCGTTAACCCTGTGTAAAATGATACAAGTCAAGTACCGTACCTCCTGGTACAACAGCAATTAACACTTGTAAAACTACTCAAGGTTCAAGCACTACCATGTCATGTAGTGTAATTTTGTATTAAACACAAGAGGTCATTGACATTCAAATCACTGTCTGAAAAGCTGAGCCTAACTAATCAGTTCCTTCCTGTATCATGTCTCTATTGAATGAAGGATCAAGAGCGATTATCTATCTAATCCCCACTAATCTCTACCCATTTGATACATACCCTAATCCCCTCTCATATTGACAATGTTCTATTGTTGAATATTGGCATATAAAAGAGAGACTACAAGAGTTGAAATCAACTGATTCTCCAATATATCTCTACATAATTATACATGCATATTCAGTTATCGTCCATTGTCTTCTTCTATGGAGGGAGCAAGTAGCTACAAGTAGGACAGTGGACTTTAAGATATCTAGATAACAAGACACTTGTAGTAGAGAACAGGTGTAATGATAAACAGAAAATACAGAAATGCCTCCGCCAAGAACAGACAGATAAAGGAGAAAGAAAGTATTCAATGATTAATTAATTAGTTAAGTTTTGGGCAAAGCGTTTCTTTCTTTTCCTTTTTTGAAAAATAATGATATGTGCAGACTTTATGTTAATGTGTTACAACTTACAAGACAGTATTTCTGAAGAAAAAGCTTTGTTAGGTTCTTCAGATTTCAGATGAATAATAATAAATATTGGCAAAACAAACTCACACACACATTATTTACCATTAAAAATCTCTTGATGCAACTAAACACATAACGACAGTGCTTATTCAAACTTTAACATGAATAATTTCATTTGTAAAAGTTACAAACTGCTTCATAGGCGTTCAAATGTAGTATCCACTATTTGAACATGTTCTTATAGTAAGGGCCTTGCTGATAGCATTACAATAAATAGAGACAAAAATAAGCTGAAGTCATTCAAACAGAATACAAATATGTAGTTCGAAAAATACTAAGCTTTCTGATTTTTTTTCTAGAAACCTGTACAGTAAATACGCTTGCATGAAAATCTTTTCATTTCTACCTACCGGTTGTATAAATGTTAGCTCAAACCCCAGAATGCTTACACTGGTTAAGCCATTGCACACGGTTATAATATTTATATTCACAAATCTTGATAATGGGCAGTCTATTTCATATATACAATGCATAAACTTGCAAGTTACTTAGCCTTAGTGCTTAAAGTCACAACCAATGATATATACATCTGAAATATACTGCATTCTATCATGTGCAATAATGATGAAGAAAATTAACCAAATTTTCTATGAAGGAACTTCAAATATTTTTTCATTATTCACTCATGTCATCATTCATTGTGTTAAAATCACACTTGGAAAGGGGCAATCTTTAAAAGAAGAGTAAGCACAGTTTACCCAAGTAATCACAACTTTTGTTACAATTTCGAAGAAACCGATTTTGCTATTTACCTCTCCCATTTCATAGATGCAGGCTGTGTTACAGTGGAAAAACACTGTCCCTTGGATAGGATGTTAAATGGAGGCCCCGGTTAGAGGAGAGTCACCGCCTTTGCACGTTAAGAACCCAGTGCACTATTGGTATAAGAGTAGGGGGATACCTTGGTGTTGTGATCCACCTGCACACCCCAAAACTCTTCTACCATAAAGACAGACCCAAGGGTTACAGTGACTCAGTTCGCTTTTCACCTCCAAAAAGAACCTCTCACTTCACATTTTAATCGTCTCAGAATTATGTAATTTGGAAGGTGCAATATATCTGTAACATTGTGTTATGAAACCAATGAAGTGAAGGAGGAAACCATAATCTACGGGGGAAAAGAGTATGATTTTCCACACTTGTCTACTGCATACTGATTTTCAGCTAAGACAAGGCATTTGAATCGTACCTGCATATCTTTATTCAGGTTGTGTGGAGACATATTGAATCCCCCTCTCTTCTTTCATAATGGTTGGAAGATATGAGATTAACATAAGTAATAAAACATGGGTCCACCATATCAAGACTGGATTATTTAGCAATCCAAAATAACATATATATTTTTATTGATATTATTATTATCTGCAGACGAGTCGAAAAAAGACACAGAAAATTAACAAAATCTTACATTATTAATAAAAAGAATACCTGTGGAAATATGGTAGGGCATTTCACTTTTGTGCAGCAAAAATAATCAGCTTTTTATCCATGATAGACACCAAACTGTCTTAATACTGCAAAATAACAACTCATAAGGAAGCAGGTGTTATAAAATGCCATGTTCGTTTGCTTCTTGCATTTGAAATACATAAAGACTACAATAAATACCACTTCAATCAATCAAATTCTTTAAAAAGCAAATACATTATGAACATGCAGTGCAAAATAATCAGGCCTTATGTCATCCATACAGACTGTGTGAAAATGTTGTCACCAACATGTGCCATGCCGTTTCACAATTCGACACGTATGTATACTTGATATCAAAATTTGCAACTGTGCTTCGTGTTCCACCAAATGTGCAAGTCAATCCAAAAGAAAAAAGTGAGCTTTTTCCTAATTGCATCACTCAGTTTACCCAAAAATTGTTAAGAATGATGAGATACAAAGGAATAATGAGGAACTGCAATCAAGTGTGGCCTACGTGTATATGCCATTGCCAATTTCCCCCACAGTAAATGTTTGCGAGTGTAAAGCCAACCGCACACTACATGATCCTCCTACAATCCAATTTTCAAAGAATGGTAATTTAATTTAGCAAGGAAAACTAAACAAACATCATCTTCCTGATTTAGCTTCTAAATAATGAAAGGCCCCGTACTAAGAAAAGAATTTTAGTGCATTGAACCCTTCTATTAGGAATAACAGCCAAATCAGCTTTAAATCATACACAATACACTACCGGTCTCTTGAGCCGATTTAGCTATGATTTTATGTTGAATGATGGTATCAAATGCTACAGCAAATTCATCTAAAATCGGATCGTAGTAAGATTGTGTAGTGCGCATTGGTCCTCTGCTCATGCAATAGGTGGCTAGTTGGCTGATTACTGACACTCATTCACTGCCGTTAGTGGGTTTTAACAATCAGCAACTTCTTACAACGCTTCCGGGCTCCGATCCAGTACCTTACAGTGACACATGCACCTAGAGTCTGTCCAGGCATAGCGCTCCCTCTATCAGAAAGGCATTTCCCAAACTTTCAATCTATCAGGAAAAATTCTTGTGAAGTCTTCCAGTTTTGGTTTACTCCATGTCTTCTGTTCAAAGATAGCTCCTGTCTTCTATCTTGAGCAAGTTCCCCCTACCTTTCCTTTAAACAAACCATTCAAGAAACTTTCTGGTCTTCAAGGTGATCTTTTAACTCTTCATTCACTTTGGATAGAAACCCCAGACTGTCACACTGTTTTGATTATAAGATGCATATACATGTACACTGTATGTGTGACAAAGGTCAACCGTGGCAGTCCGATATGTTCTATTGGTCGACGAAAGCTAGTAAAGAGTTAAGAAACCTGAACATTTTTAGCGATCCCAACAATACCCCTAGACGATGCCAGCAGTTCTCATGATGAAGACATTGCGACGTTGGAGGGCGAGTCTATGGGTATCAGGTCTGAATGGTGGTGTTCTATCCGGTCCAGGAGCTGTGAAGCGACGGGACAGAACTCGGTCTTCCAGTAGGACTTCATCAGCTGCTGGGTCTCCGCGTCCCAGTCTGCATCCTCAGGAACCTCGAGGGCCACTTCTTCATCTGAGTATGGAGAGACAAGACAGAGATTACGTAAGATAGTAGAATTGCAAACATTTTATGTGGAATAGAACAACCTACATTGAGTCCACCAGGACCTACATACCAGGCCACTCCCTCATATCCAAAAGGAAGAGATAGAGACAGACAGACAGACAGACATGAAGAGAGTGAAAGAGACACACAGAGAGAGTGAGACGGAGAGTGGGAGAGTGGGAGAGAGAGAGAGAGAGAGAGAAAGAGAAAGAAAGAGAAACAAAGAGAGAGAAACAAAGAGAGAAAGAGGGAGAGAGAGAGAAAGAAAGGAATGAGAATAAGAGAGATCAACTCGAAAGATTTTTGTCATCAGAAATACACAAAATTACATTTAAGCACAGGAATAGAACAATCTATGTAGGACTTAATGGAATAGGTCAAGAAAGAAAACTGTACAATCCCTCAGTGAATCTCGTATTGTACAGAAGACTAGCTTCTTCAACACAAACAAACAACGTATCAACAAACAGCAGTAGAAACTTGAGCAATTTCTGTTGTCTTACCAAGGTAATCCACAAGAAGTTCTGTGAATTCCCCCGTCTCCTGTTCTCCGAACGTCTCATTGGAGTTGAGGATGTTCTCACTGTAGTTCCACAGGGTCATACACACCATCCCAGCCAGCTGCCAGTCACTGCGCCCAAAGTCTCGTAAAACATCTATCAATCTGAAATAACAACATTTTGTAAGAAATACAGTCAAACCTGCTTTAGCGACCACCTGTATAGAAAGACCACCTGTCTACAGAGACCACATTTTTTGTTTCCCTTGAAAATGGTTTCTCATTGAAACATGTACTAGAGGAACCTGTAGATAAAGATCACCTGCCTATAAAGACCACTTTTCTTGTCTATCTTGGGTAGTCTTTATTGACATGTTTCACTGTATAATGCTTGTTACTTTTTTTCTTTTTTTTTTGTAGCAATAACAATTTTTCACCACAATCACAATAAAGGGGAAATAAAGTACATTTTAAAACTATTGCAGAATACAGTTGCATTCTGCTACAGAGGTTGTAGTAATATTCACATAGTCACCATGTGCTGTTGTAATTTAGTGAATATTGACTGTGCCTGCAATAACACTTCAAACATCAAATGACAGAGAACTCATACTTCAGTCTATGGAAAATGTGTTTATACGAAGATCAAAGTATCAAATGGGTTCAATGCAATTTGTTATGAGGAAAATTGGATGGACTTACTTGCTGACACCACCCTCTCTCTTGAGCATTGGCCTCCTATCCACATCAGCCATTAGGTTGATGAGTACACCGCACGATGTATAGACAAACTCTCTGTTACCGGAGTCTAGTAGGGTCACCATCATCTCATCAACTGTTGATTTAAGTGGGAGATAAACAAAAAAAATGAAGAGTATAATTCCAAAAGGAGCTAAATCCATTTGTGTAACTTCAGAGAAAAACGGTTTACCAGATTTTGTACAGGCGTCTATGGAAAAGTGATATTAGAAGGTTAATTTTTCATAATTGCTCCCAAAATTTAAGTAAATAATTTTGTTGTAAGACAGGTACTACAGTGAACAATGTTCTGATATCAATAACTCAATTTTCATCAAAAGTGAATTTAGCTCCTTTTGGAATTAAGCTCTTCATATAAATGTATTTTTTGATTGATAAATCCACCAAAACAGAGTCAGGGACAGAGGAGGAAGAGAGGTAGGGGTGAGAAACAGGGATGGGTGTGGAAAGATCAAGACAGACAGAGTGGGAGATTGAGAAAAAAAGAGAGAAAGACAGAGAAAACAAAGAGAAAAAGAGAGAGAAAGACAGAGAGGGAGATTGAGAGAAGAAGAGAGAAAGACAGAGAAAACAAAGAGAAAAAGAGAGACAAAGACAGAGAGGGAGATTGAGAGAAGAAGAGAGAAATACAGAGAGGGAGATTGAGAGAAGAAGAGAGAAAGACAGAGAGGGAGATTGAGAGAAGAAGAGAGAAAGACAGAGAAAACAAAGAGAAAAAGAGAGAGAAAGACAGAGAGGGAGATTGAGAGAAGAAGAGAGAAAGACAGAGAGGGAGATTGAGAGAAGAAGAGAGAAAGACAGAGAAAACAAAGAGAGAAAGAGAGAGAAAGACAGAGAGACAGACAGAGGAAAATAGAGAGAGAGAGAGAGAGAGAGAGAGAGAGGAAAGAGAGAGAGAGAGAAAAAGAGAGAGAGAAAGAGAAACAGAGAAAGAATAAACTGAACTGAACTGGAGAGAGAGAGAGAGAGAGACAGAGAGAGAGACAGAGAGGGGGAGTATAATAGAGGACAGATGAGGAAATATCAAAAGAGATGGAGAAAGGGGTGGGAGCAGGGTGAGAGAAAGAGAGATAAATAGAATACGTGAAAAACAATCGCAACAGGAATTGCAATATCAGAGTTCTACTGGATTTGTTATTCTAGTGAAATCTAGAATTGTAAGCAAACACATCTCTCAGCAAGTTACAAAATTCTACATAAATTACTGAAACTCACCCTTTTTGGCAGTCAAAAAGTTGCGTATATCAATAGACCTGGAGAGATTTCCAAAGACCCTAGATGCTTCTATCATCCCTTCATGATGATCAGTTACTAACTGCTTCAGTAATACTGAAAAAAAAAAAAAAAGAGTAACATTATTACCAAATACATGTATCTTGTAATTAACAAATTTATACAGTGAGATATATGAAATCTTTGATTTGTCTTGCCGATGAAAACATAAGATCATACATGGCCATGACCATGGTCACCTTACGCTTTTATTCTAGGCTATAGTATCATTTTTCTTGAATATGTCTAATCCAAGATTAATCAATGACAATTCTATTCAATAATATTTTTGTATATCATATAATGCTAGCATCTTATATCTCCCCTTCTTTGGTCCATTACCCGTTTTGCAATGGTATCTTTCATCTTCATTTATCTCTTATTATCTTTCCTTTTCTTTTTAAATAAAGTAGTCTTGAAGAGAATTGAAACTATGTATGATAATATCTGCTAATCTATTCACTCAGGTAAAGTAATATCAATCATTGAACCAATCATATGTACTACATATACTCACATCTTGCTATCTGAATCTGTCTCTCTACTATGGCACTATTGATGATGTCATAGAATGATAGATTGTTGATGGTGATCAATGCGTTCAGGACCAACTCCTCATTCTGACTTATGTCTTTGGATTCTGTGGATAAAACACAAAAGAAAATTTGATAACCACTGGGAAGAGAAACAAAATTGAAAAGAGAAAGGGAATGGAGAGATAAAATGGATGCAGAAAGAGAGTGAGAAAGAGTATGACAATGTATGATGATGGTATTTTGCAATACATACAGGCCAAAGTATTGCTTTGCATATGCAGACTATGTAATATACCAAAGGAATGTATGAAGGGAAAGTAGCATATGTCCTAGTATTGTGTAATGAGAGAGAGAGAGAGAGAGAGAGATAAGAGAAATGAATGAAACATAGTTTTGAGATCACAATTTGTATCGCAATAAGGCCTATTTTGTCCCCTTTTTGGCTGATATTTTTGGTTTTGAATGCTTAAATACATATTTTTTTATTCATTAAACATTTTTTTTCTAAACAAACGGTTTTAAAAAAAAAAACTTTAATAAAAGCAGGCTATAGATCGGTTGCAAAGGGCAATACAACAACTTTTTTTTTAAAGCCGAATGGAAAAACACCACAATGCACAACCAGGTCATCATTTGTTAGAACTTGTTCAATCTAACAACTTCTACAAGCATTCCAAGATCGGGCAAGTTAAGAGTACATGGATAAGTATGAAGATAATCATGAAGATGAGTATGAAGGTATGTATATATCCTCACCTAGAACCTGCATGAGAAGATCCACACACGTCTCATTGGCTGCTATAAGAGGTCCAATGTCTGGATTGATGGAGAGGTTAGCCACGACACGGATCAGCTTGATAAGAACATCTTCTGTTGTGTTGTCCTGCTTCGCATCACCAGACTCTTTCATACTCTCCTACAATTGATCATCGAACAGGAAATGTAGACAAAACATATTAATATTGAAGGAGGCATGATGGTTCAGTGGTAGAGCAATGGTCTTGTAACCGAGAGGTCCCTGGTTTGAAACCAAGTTGATGCGCTAGTGCCCTTTGGTAAGGCATCAATCCTCATTACCAAGTCCCTCAGAGAGGACTTAAAGCCTTTGGTCCCCTGGTTGCTTACTTACTAGCACATGCCTTCTTAGCAGTCAGGTAAACAAAAAAAATGCACAACCAACCAATATATTAAAATACATTAAAATACACAGATAATACATGCAAATGAGTTCCTTATGTGATCTACATGTATCTAGACTTTGATTGAGGCTGTATGCATCTACAGAGTATAGTACGAAGCCGTCAGGCTAAGTAGGAAAGGTGCACAAACGTCATTAACAGCAGTGGACAGATCTTGTAAAGAACAAATGAAAACATCCATCATTTTTTTTAAAACAAAATAATTAATTTCAAGATTGTTTTGCGCCATATGGCTGACAAAGAAGACAATCATTCGCATGTATCCTTCTATGATATTCTGCTATTATCAAAAGCAACTTGATACGAGGGTTGAGTTCCCCTCAAGCAGAGTACAAGTTCCTCTAGCGGAAACTGCTATGACCACAGTGAATTTGAACAGTACTCACCCTAAGATCCTTAGCCAAGTATCTCCTGATGGAACCCTGCAGCACCTCCATGGCACCCTCTGTGTTGAAGAGGCAGTAGCGGCAGTCATCGTTCCTCGCAGTCAGGTTACCCAGGACAAAGCCCACCCTGACCACAAGATCATTTCTGTCAGGGTGCTTGTTGATAAGGGCTAGAAGTGACTGGAAGGCTGTAGGGTGCTCAGCTAGAACAGCTGTACAGTCGTTGTTCAGGGTCAGTTTACTGTGGAGAACAAATAATAAGAATTTCATTTCAATGTTTCAGTTCATTCTCTTCATTTCAATGATTCTGTTCATTGATTCTGTCGGGGTGCTTGTTGATGAGGGCTTGGAGTGACTGGAAGGCTGTAGGGTGCTCAGCCAGGACTGCAGTACAGTCATTGTTCAGGGTCAGTTTACTGTACAAGAACAACAAATAATGTTCATTATATTAAAATATTTGCTTTATTCTTTTCATTTTAATGTTCCTTTTATCATTCCTGTCATGAGGTTTATTGATGAGGGCTAGCAGTGACTGGAAAGCCGTGGGGTGTCGGTCGTTAAGTGTCATTTTACTGTGCAGAACAAGAAACAAGTATGTACATCTCAAGGTGTCGGATCACTTTTCTATTAGCTGTTTCTAATATTAATTTCAAGGCAGAGTTCAAGGGGTACAAGTCTTTCGTGGGGCACTCTTCTGCAAAAAAAGAATTACTTGCATGTACAGTCAAACCTGTCTATAGCGACCACCCAAGGGAAACACAAAAAGTGGCCTCTGTAGACAGGTGGTCTTTGTAGACAGGTTCCTTAATTACATGATTCAATGAAAATCCATTTTCAAGGGAAACAACAAATGTGGCCTTTGTAGACAGGTGGTCTTTGTAGACAGGTGGTCACTAAAGCAGGTTTGACTGTATCAAGAAAACTTGCATCTACATAATCCACATTTTAAAAATGAAAACACTGTTCATACTAACAAGTGTGTGGGTAATTGGGTTTTTACAGACGTGTATCAATCAGATATCATTATTTCCGTCTGGGGACCGACCTTTAACATCATCATCCGAAAGACACGACTCAGTTTCGAACCGGGGGTCGCCTGAGTCAGCTTGTAGGCGAAGACAGAGAGTTGACCAAGTGAACATGCCGCTAGACCAACTCACAATCTCCCAAGTTCTACTGCATAATGATCTAAACAATTTTTTGGAGTGATATGAAATGGCTATACCTTAATATCCTTGAGACATGCATCATGAGATCGCCATCTGATGTGAACAGCTCCATGATGCCACATAGATGGTTGATGACTTTGTTGGCCAAGAAGTCATGTCTGTTCTCACTCCTGTCCGCAAGGTGACGAAGGGTCCCCACAATCTGAAGCAAAAGGTTGGAGACGTTCTTGCTCCGGGACTCTGATGAAGTCTGTAAGAATTAAAGAAACAATCATCAATTTATAAATGAAATGAAAAGCACAAACACACTTGATATGTAACAGAGATGCTGCATATTAATGCCCCCCCCCAATCAAAAAAGAGAATCCAATCGAACACTGATATTTAAAAGTCAATACAAAATTGCAGTATATGAATTATATTTATCTTGTGTAATCGATTGGGTACTATAGACATGTATCAACACTGAGTATGGAACCTGGCCCCCTGCCCCCAACCACACCCCACCTACACACGCAAACGTTCATATGGAGAAAGCATTTAACATAATATATTCATAATTACAAGATGGCAGAGCTTTAAGTAGTAGGAAGAAAAACAATAGTAACTGGATTATTGTTTCATTCACATAGAGATAGAATAAAAAGACACAACAGTTTGAATGGATATAATTACTTAACGGAAAGAAAAAAAGTGGGAAAACAGGGGCATTGTACCATGTAAGCTCCCATGACATAAATCAACAGTACAATATGTACAATCTCCACAGATTTATGTAAAACAACATTGTACAATAAATCGATCAATTATAGTTTATAGTCTCACCGATGCATTGACCGACTTGAGGATCCGTCCGAAGGCTTCAATGAGCCCCTTCTCAGACAGGACTTTATTGAGCTCTGTGTTAGCAGACAGACACTTCAGACCTCCTACACAGTACACGAGAGCCTCGCAGTTTGATATGTAGTCCGTCTTTGCAATTAATGTCACGATCAAATCTGCAAAGAAAGAAATAAAGCGTAATAAGTTATGTAAAATACTAGGTAAGGTTGATCTTTCACAGATTGAAATGCAAACAATATAAACCTGTAAAAAAGTTTCCTTTATATATTTTGAGTATGGCCCGTTATCTATCAGAATATGGATTTCTGTTTTTAGCATGCAGGGTTCCATCACAGAAAAGACTGGCAAGTGATCAAAATTTATCTACCCGGTGGACTTCAACGCCTCCCCCCCCCCCCTCCCCTTCACCCCTCCCCCCCCCCCTTTCTTCAACCTGTGAAACTGCCCTCTGACAAATTTAGCCTAATTAACCCTCAGACAACTACCAAAGAGGTAGTTGTACAGACATATATTGCCATGTGGTAATTGTCCTTAAAGGGATCGTTTAACAATGTTAAATCTGAGATACACGGCCCTATGTGTTATCAGTGTCTGTGATATGGTGTAATATTGAAGCCTTAAAAAAATTGCGCTTCAAAATGATCAAGAAGTGCGTCAAAAAAGTAAAATTCTTTGAGTGACCGGTTTTACCATACTCGTTTCCCCCAATAGACTGTAGTGTCATGAAAACCGTCAGGCGAACGGTTTTCAAAATTTGTAATTACAATCATAAATATCTTGATAATCAGACAGGCGATCGGCTTGTAAAAGTCATGGGGTTCCTGACTGACCTAAAGGTTTATAATTTTCATTGCATCATGAGCTAAATCCAGAATTTTGTTTCAGAATTTGAGAGAAAGTTACCGGATCCCTTTAAGTCTGGAGTAATAATATTAATTTTGTTAATTAGACATTAGTGCTGCAGCGGGACTCGAACCGTGGACCTTGTGATCGACAGTCCGGTGCCCATAGTCACCGTAAACAATTTAGGTCTTGAATCTTGTGTGCCCCTTCATCTAAGCTTACCCAAATCTAATATACAATAAAACCCAAACTCTAACAGAGGATTGAGAATCTGTTTTCCATTTTGAAGATGCTAAATCAAATGCAACTACTTTATATTCATATAAGCTTTTGTCATCTCCCATCACCCCTTAACATATTGTACAATGAGGAGGCGTGATAGCTCAGTCGGTAGAGCAGTGGTCTTGTAATCCGGTGACCCAGGTTCGAAACCAAGACGATGCGCTAGTGCCCTTTGGTAAGGCATTAGTCCTCGTTACCAGGTCCCTAGGAGAGGACCTAAATCCATCTGCCGTCTGGTTGCTTACTTACAAGCATTTATGCTTTCTTAATTAGCAGTCAGGTAAAATAACCACCACCATTCAATTTACACATACATGACATGTGTCATATGTTTAGGTGATGAGAGGGTTTATAGTACTCACCTAATAAGTTCTTATCAAGAAACAGAGAATCATTCTTCTCATCGCGACTGAGTTTGAAGAGAAGTCTACACAGAGCCTTGAGATTACTGCCAGTTACATCAAGCTACAAAGAGAAGAAGATTACTCTTAATTCATCCAAGAAAGAAAAATGTGCATTCACGACAGATAATAGTATGGTGACCGTGCCTTCTCTTCAGTTATCCCACGCCTCTTGAACTCCCTCCCTCCTATTCTTCCTGACACTGACAAGCTAGAAAGCTTTAAGTCAGGCCTCAAAACCTATCTTTTCAAGCAAATGTGTAGTCCATGACTATTGGAGGAGCGGGCGCCTTTGAATGTTTGAAACAGATACATGGCGCCATACAAGTGCTGTGGATCATCATCAACTTCTATATTTGAATAGGACCTCATTCAAAAGGTCTGCTTGCTAGACTACCGGTATGTGTATCGGAATAATACATTGTTTTCTTTGTATTTCTCCTTAAATTGTACAATTATAGGTCTTAAATAAATTAGAATACAGCAGGGTTCTTGTTAATTTTTCTGATAGCAGGCTATTTATGATTTACAGGAGGCTACTAAAATTGCAAAAGAAAAATCTCTGTGCGCATAGCGCACATCACGAGCGCGAAGCGCGAAGTCCCTTGCGGCCGGGGTCCAGGGCCCGCCCAAGGGCCCTGGAAGCTTTAGGGTTTTAGATGCTCTCTGGTGCTATCTTAGCCTTATTTTTGAAGATATGACCACACTGTATGAGCCATAGTTTAATGATAAAGATCATGAATATTTTGGCTGAATAACTTACTTTTCATATGATATACAATATGAAATGAAAATGCTCCATTATTCAGGGTTCGTACACTTACACATTTTTAAAATTCCATGACTTTCCATGACTTTCCAGAGCAGGTTAATGTAAATTTCCATGACCATTTTCAATGATGAACATGTCTTAATTTAAAGCGTACAACTAAACATCATCGCAATACTAGGAAGCAAATCACTAAACTATAAGGCGCACCCTCATTTCGAAGATTCCCCCCCCCAAAAAAAAAAAAAAAAAAAAAAAAAATCTGAAAAAAAATCTGAAAAAAAATCTGAAAACAAAAAATCTGTCATCTTTAGTTTAAAAACAACATTGTTACTAGACCAAGGTCTAACTTAGTTCAAAAGCACCTCAATTTGCCTCGTATAATGAAAGTGAAAGTATTTTTTGAACACTGATATAAGACGCGATCTGATCTGGTTAACAAAAAGCCACCAAAAAAAAAGCCAACATTGGTCTTTTTGTTAACATCAGATCGGCTCTTATTTCAGTGACAGTGTTCGAAAATACTTTCATTTTATTACGAGGCACAGTTGTAGTGCTTGTGAAATAAGTTAGACCCAGTAACAACGTTGTTTTTAAAACTAAAGATGACAGAATTTTTGACCCCCGAGTCCAAACAGAATTGTGGACAGGCTAGTGTTCGCGTGGTGATTCGTTATCCCCTGTGTAAGTGAGCTGAAGACACGGGAGAGCTTCGGCCGGCAAAGTGCCATGCGACGGGGCATAATTTATCGAGACTGAAAAAAAAAACTGAAGACAAAAAACTCTCTTCCCTTCCAATTAGGAACGTAGTTTAACTTCAAATAGTAGATCCTATTCTTTATTTGCATTATGTAATTCATGTTGAGACACAGAGATTTTTGAAAACCACTAAAAAGTAGCATTTGAGGACTCAAATATCGCCCGGCCTGTTCCTGACTATATAAGGCGCACTCCCGACTTTCGATATTTTGCTGACGGAAAAAAGTGTGCCTTAATTGCGGACGTTGGGGAAAGCAGCAACCACGAGGCTAGGCTAGTTAACTACTGGAGCTGGCTGTATGCTCGCACTCGCACAATGGACGTCAAATGTGGAATCAAATGCGATTCAGGGTTGCGATATTCGAGTAAAGAGCAACACGATTTTTAAAGGGGTTCTTAATAAAACACGAGTGGCTCCTGATGCATAGTTATTTACATTTAATTTATTGTTTAATGAATATTCTGTGGTATAACCCCGGGGTAAAACACCTTCATTCAAATTTTTAATAAAAATCAATGCACAAGCCCGATCAAAAAGTAATCGTACAGCGTGCATGCAGCATTCGTGCATGTACACACACCGGCAACACGCACCGCAACTGTCAATGCAAGTCATTTACGCACACAAACATCTTGCATACATGTATGAAAGACACACTAGTAGGTCCTAAAGATATTGCGTGTAATTTATTACGAAGAAGGTCCTGTGAACCACAGATTTTACAAAATGTATTTTCCTTTGTTCACAAGACAAATTAAATGCCCTTTTAACATCTTGAAGAAAAAAAAAATTTCCCTGACTTTCCAGAAGAAATGGACGAATTCCCTGACTTTCCCTGACTTTTTGCTTCTGGAAAATACATTTGTAAATTCCCTGACTTTCCAGAAATTCCCTGACCCGTACGAACCCTGTAAATTCACTCAGCTAGCTCAGCTCGGCTCACAACGCGCGCTTTTCTTGCGTAAGCTAGCTTGCCGGCCTGCGCTTGGCTCTGGCGCACTGGGCATATACTAGATAGCTCTGCCCCCGCGTGCGCCGCGCCGCAAGTCCATATTTAATAGGGTTTTATTTTACGATCGTTTCGGAGACGTTTCATCTCATTTCTTTACGACCGTTTTCACAACCCCGCGCTATGAAAGCGTGTCTTCGTGAAGCTTGTGATAACAGAAATTTGAGATAGCGACTTGACCGAATATGATGTGATTTTTGTATTATTATTATTTTTTTTTGGAGAGGCTTACAGCCGGCTACGATTGCCGTTACAGCCGGAAAAAATAGCCGGTTGCCGGCTATTAACAAGAACCCTGATACAGTCTATTAAAAGTGGATGTAATACCAAAATCGAAATGAATGGGTTTACTTGATTAAATAATAACCTTACCTTGAAAGTATTATATGCTAGTGGTCTACTGAATAATAACTGTAACCCTTGTTGAACATAGAAGTCTTGGGACTTAAATGATTGTACTGAACATCCATCAGTCTGATTACAACTTTTAACAAACCCTAATATGGTACACAAGTAGAACCAATAACATGTAAGACTACCGAGTCTTCCCCCGATCACCAATGCTGAATGCATTTGAAAAAGTCTGATGAATATTCAAATACATTTTCATATCTGGTCCAACGAAGAGGACCGAAAGCCGTCGGCCGTCTGGTTGCTGCCTAACAAGTATTTATGCTTTCTCAGCAGTCAGGTAAAAATAACCACCACTACTATCTAGTCTAATCAAGATTAAATGTTGATACTCACAGCTAGTACTATTTTGGATGCCTTGAGGAGTAACCCTGGATCTGACTGGTCTAGGAGTTTGAAGACTGTCTTGAGGGCTGAAGATCTTCTCTTGGCCCCTCGACCTAACATGTCTCGGGCTTCTAGAGTGCTGTATAGATCATTGCACAGACCACAGGCTCCTAGGACTCCCTCTTGGTCTAGTTTGACTGCAGGTGATGGGAGAACAAACCGAGAAAAGAGTAAAAGATAGAACAGAGATTTCCCTATTTAGCAGATCATGCCATACCCTCTCTTGAAAATTCCACATTAAGCATTCATAAGATATGAAAAGATCTTGTACATGTTTATTCAATGTATCTATGCTTTTACCAATTAGTTGGAAGATTCATGTTATACCAAAATTGACCCGTATCCAAAGGGTGACACCTTATACATATATTTTGCTATACTGTCCTAAATGAAAGGGGAAAACAAACTACATCAAAACACTATTTCTGCATTATGGTTTTCATGAATGAGTTTTTGAAACTATACTCACCTTTAGATAATGATGCTAATTTCTCCAAGATGGGACTGACTCTCTCGTTCCAGTAGAGGGCCTCCTCCGGTGTTTCGTCTTCCCTTTTTCCACCACTCCCTAGAGGCAAATTAAAGAAGGAAATGAGATGCTACAAAAAATATCAGATAACTAAAGTCCAATTTGAGGTCTTTTATAGGGCACTATCACCCTCATGATACCAGATACACTGTCACCAGCATTTCTGTTCACAAATCATTTAAATTCAAATAATGTTGTTTGATGTTTACCAATTGACATAAGATGACATATTGTTATTTTTTCACTTGAATCACAAAAATGACAAGATCATGCATTTTAGCAGAGTGACCAGACATTACTGCAGAATCTGCATTATTATTATAACTGAATCATGGAAGGCATCTTTTTATCCAGTGGAAAAGGCGCACTAACAACTGGAACTGTTCAAAATTGGCAACCTAAATATATTCAGTCAAGGCCACACTATTCTCCCTTAAAATATCAATACTTGCGATTAATTTGGATCAATCGCAACTCTTGTAAGACAGGGCCCTGGACTAAAGAAGTACTTTCTTAAACAGTATGGATATTCCTGGCCACCAATTTTTTTTCAAAACCGCTACACTGCAAGAGGATTGGTATGGTCAAATGAAAATATCAATGTTGCTGATGCGAGGAGGAAAAACTGATTCTCGCATTCATTTAGACAATCTTGATGCATTACTTAGACTCACCAGATCTGCTGCTTGCTGAATGCCTATCACTAGAGTAGCCACTTTCTGATCGCTCTGTGCTGGTACTACCTGTGCTACCGGTTGAAGCCCTTAAGGAAAAAACGTGAGAAAGTCGTTGAGTCAGGCGGAACATAATCGTGTTTTTGAATACTTTTCATCTTTTGTAATGTCATCTTTTTAATGAGATTCTATACCTTTAAATCCTACAAAGGTGACACTACCCAATAACAAACATAGAATGAAACAAATCAACTGTTGAAATCATTTGCTGTAAACTTCATGGGTATTATTTGTTGGGTTTAGAGGTTTTTTAATTTATTGGTTTAAACTCCTCGATTAGAAGTATATGGATATACATGTAACAATATGTGGAGATTTAATAATTTCTCTTAAAAAGATAATGTAATGGCGATCATTAAAAAGATCCCATTCCAATCCAACATGATCTCATTTGATCTCTATACACTTTACTTTGATCTAAAGTACACATCTTTATCAAGAATTACATCCAGGAGCCATTAAAGTCATTCTGGTCACAAAAGTCACCAACTTCTACATTCTATGGCTGAGTATTTGAGCAGTCTTTGAACCGATGTTTACAATGACATGCGGTAAATTAGACTCAAACCTAAGGTAAAATCAAGAAACTTACCGACTGCTACTCGTACTACTGGTCTGGATGCTATCTGCCGACCTCACCCTGGGTACCCCACTGTCAGGGGACGGGCGTGTCAACCCCTCGTCTCCAGTTCCTGCGTCTACATCCCCGTCATCCAGGAGGTGCTTGGTGCGCTCCTTGGGACCACTCTGCACCCTTCTCTCTTTCCCCGCACTGGTCGTCTTGGGGGCGGAGTTCTTCCGCTCCATAGGCTTGGGTAGGACTTGGACTAGGAAGGTGAGAAGAGATGTGGTCCAGGTTTAGTCTCATTTGAATTGATTTTAGACTTAATTTGATAGTGTTAACGAGATGACAAGGGTTTGAATGTAAAATATTGACAAGAGGCATAAAGAATCTGAGATGAGAAATACTTATGTTTCCTTCCAATACCATTAACTAAAATTGTGACAGAATTCTCATTATCTCGTGACAACCATATTGTAACACTATGGAATATGGCACTCAGCATTATTCACAAGTTTAGCAACTTGTGATATCATATGACCTCTCTTGGTCAGCATTACATTCAAGGTTTGTTCACATTTACTACAGTAAACAGCTGCGTTTTTTGTTGATAAAAACTAAATAAATGGCAAGTGTGGATAAAATAAAAAGCTGTGCGGAACTATGGCCCTACAAAACTCACTTATCTGTGTGTAATTAGATTTAGAAATTAAAATACAAACAGTACACTGAAGTATGCTTTACAAAAAACAAAAACAAAACCCTGCATTAAACCGCATCCTACGTGAACAAGATAATTGAATTCACTTACTGGCACTTCCATCCTGACTTAGGGCACTAAGCAGCTTTGGACGAGCTCTCCTCTGACCCGAACCTCCCCGTTTTGGGTCAATGGTGGGCGGCTTGGGCAGTTTTGGACAGTGGTCATCTATAGAGATCTTTTTGAGCGATGGTGGTGGTGACGGTTTCTACATGAAAATATGGAGGAAGTGTGGTTGGATTAGAAATTATTATTTTATAAATGCTTAGTTAAAAACTTTTTATTTCCCTTCTTCATAGATGTACAGTGGAACCTCATTATAATAAGATATGATATAACAAGGTATATGATGTTATAACAAGGTGGTTTTGCTGGTCCAAGCTCTTTATATTCTTTTATTTCTTACCCTGATATAACAAGGTTATAACCAAGGTTCCCAATGACCTCGTTATAACGAGTTTTCACTGAATGTATCAGGATTGACAGTAACATGGAATAATGTTATCCTTTAAAATGGCATTTTAGGTGAAATTGGTATTGGTATGTATTTCCCAAAAAATGAATTAGTGTTGCTTTCTATACAACAAAAGTCTATGTACCTTCTTGAAATTTAACAGGTTCATAAATATTATTACATTTTCATGGACCAGTATTTGTATCCAGATGAAAAGTGAAATCAAAACATTTCTTTCATAAATCTATGATTGTACATCTGAGGGCACAGTAAGGTTAAAACCTGCATTTACTAAATTAACACAACGTGATTAAATGGATACAATCCCCCCCCCCCCAAAAAAAAAAAGTACTGTATGTAAACAATTGATAACATAGATGATAACAAACAAGAGCTACAATCAGCAATAACAGAAGTCAAAGATTTTTAAAATTGAATAATTTAAGAGTTCTTACATGATCCAGAGGTGAGAGTCTGGATCCTGACGGAGGTCTAGAATCAGGTCCATCAAAGTGCCTTGAACCCAAACTGGAAAGCAAAAAAGGAAATGATACATACACTACATTTATACAAAGACTTTCTATAGAGTAAGTCTTGTGCTATCAGACAACTGCTGCAAATGTGTGCAAGTCAGGGAAATAGATGTTTGAGGGACACTTTTAAAGAAACCTCCTTGATGATAAACCATGATCATTTTGCCAGGGTCGAACAATATATTGGCCTAAAGTTCAATAGTTGATCATGATACTCTTGGGTTTGCCAGATTTCTCTTGATTTACCAAAATCTCTTTAAAAGCACTCAAAAGAGAAACTTCTAATGAACACACACATCGATCAAAGATGTTCCTTGACTTGAGTCACGCTTGAAAGGTTATCAATGTGTTATAAAGAGGACCTTCACACCCAATATAAAACACAATGGGAAGCTCTTCAATGAATGGAGGGTGTCTGTAAAGCATTATGCACTCGGGTATAGGAATATAGTGAGATAAAAGGAAGGGAAGATTAATCTCTTTCATTCATGAACTGTTAATGAATGATTGCAAGGTGTCAATCACAGTCTATTTTAAGAGATACAAAAGCTTGTAATCCATGCAGAGATCTAAGAATTTGTCCATTAAGCCTTTTTTCATGTTAGAAAGGGTGCATGTATGGTATTAAGACCAACAAGTCATGGGACTAAAGTCAAAGAAGGTTATTGGCAATTCCTGTCAGTGTCAACTGTGAAATTAAGGATTGCTGAGGCATACATCATACATGTACTGACGGCAAGCAAGAATGAACTTCTCTTTGCTTTGCAGTCTCTTAAAAAATGTACTGTAAAAAGAAAATCATAGACAGTATTAAAAAATGTATTTGAATATGATTAATTAAAGCAAGACATGAAAGTGAATGTTTTGTCAAAATCATTATTTATAGCAAGATAGCAAGAGAAAGTGGAGTATTACAAAAGGAAACAGACCGTAGACTTGGGCAGTAACTACCTGATGTGGTCCATTGCTGTATTTTTTGTAATTCATGTCAATTTTTTACACAGTACAGTAGATGCAAAAGAAGCTTTTTACTTCTCTGTATCCTAAATATAAACAGGAATTGTGGAACTTCAAACTTACCTGAATGCAGAAGGAGGCCGCTCAGTTGGCGCCCTGGTGGTGCTTCCGCTGAACAACGTCCTCTTGTCCTCTCTTGGGGTGAAAGGTCGCGTGGTCCGAACGGTTCTCAAGGCCGCCCTGGCATCAGCGATGATGTCAGCACTGGATTCCTTGTTGGTCTGCTTCTCATAGAAAGCCTTGTCTTCGGCTTTCTTGCGGGCTGCCCTTCTACTTCCACTCATTCCTGCCATCTTGAATGTTCATCGGCAAAGAGGGAAAACTCTTTCGCTATCTCAGTGCTTTGTGCTGGAGTGGTCCTACCGACTGAGAATGTTAATTAAGGTCCGTCACCCGATAGCCGTTGTATAAGATGCCTAGCTACGTGTAGGCCTTTTGTGCAGTTGGAGTTTCAACATGTTCCTGATGATTTGCTAAAGCTGATAAATCATCCCTTCAGTCTGAAAATAATATGATTGAAAAAAACAACTTTCAAAACTAGAATAGTGGACAGTTTGATGGCGATTCTATTGATGCACTGTTAGATAAGATGCCTAGCTACATGTAGACATTTTGTGCAGTTGGACCTTCAACATGTTTCTAATGATTTGCTAAAGCTGATAAATCATCCCTTCAGTCTGAAAACAATATGATTGAAGAAAAAAAAACTTTCAAAACAAGAAGAGTGGACAGTTTTAGAGCGATAATATTGATGCACATTATGTGATTACACAATATATTGGAAAAAGATTACTGCACGGGTATTAACGTCTCTTGGAAAAATCCATTTTGAAGATCTGTGTGAGATAATGAGATAATAATAGTAGTGGATATCACTCTCGTTACACTTCTCTAGTCGTTTGGAGGTTCCATCAAGCTGGACCACGAGCAAAAATTCAAACATGTAAAATTGCAACTTGGAAGGTGTATGAATGATGTGATTGAAGCGCAAAGTCAGTTGTGACTTGGTAAAGGGCTTGCTTGCAGGCTCTAGGGTTCTTACAGTACATGCTCTATGATGCATTCTCTGCCATATAAAATACTGTTTTCAAACAAATTTGTGACCAATATTTCTTGAATAATTTTTTTATAGAAATAAGGTTTATCCTATTGTTGATTTTCAAAGTATATCAATACCAGCTACCAATACATGTATGCATGTGACTGTGCAAAAAAACAAAAACATACACACAACATTTAAAGTAGAATCACCATTGCAAAGTGGACATCAAGTGAAATTTTGAAACGATAGCCTGGTGGGAGTGGTAAAGAGATGTTTAATAACTACATGTACATTTTCCCTCAACTATATTCATATACTGTATATCAAGAGAAGAAAAAAATACTTGTTACCATTTTCACATGAAATCTGAATATATTGTTCAAAACATCCTTGAATATTCCCTAAAAACCTGTGTGCGAGACATGTGAAGCTTAGCCTTTAGGCATGTATTTGTCATTATGTCTTAAGTCAAGACTCAAGGTTGGGATTTTGTGGAAAAGTGCTTTAAAGAACTTTGTTTTATAATCATTTCTCCTTCAACAAATTAAAAAAGTCTAAATTTGAAGTTAATTCAAAGATATAGAGTATCCTTGCTTTCTCTGGAAGACTCACTCACTATTTAGACAATAATTGATGAAGGGGCAGTAGGGAAACATTTCATTATTTTCATTCCTGGCAAGCTGTGCGCATCGTCATTATTAGTATTACATATTCATATAGACCCCTATACCACCAGAATTGTTCAACATCATCTTCATCACCGTCGGCCGTTGTCATTATCCTCATCATCATTGTCATCAACATAGTCATCATAATCATCATCACACTGATCACCATAACCCACATGTCAGGCAGCATGTCTTATCACGACATCAGCACATCAACTGTCATCAACGAGACTTGATTTTTATTTTTTATTGAATTTCATTTGGACTGATCAGGTAAACCATCAATATTTTGACGTTCTTCCTTGATGAACGGCTTATGACACCAGTGGCTACCAAACAATAAAATCTTAGGAGGAGCAGCTCACATATTCTGTTTTCATGCCCCCCCCCCCCCATGCCCCTTGTCGTTATTGTCTTTGATCGAGTATAGAAAGTTGCAACACAGTATTTCATGTGTGGGACTGAACAATATTAACCTACCAACAATAACACAAAAATAAATCACTCGAAATCGATCTGCTAAACGAGGCCTATTTGTTACATAATTAAGGAATTCACAAGGTGGCATGGTCATGATAATGTACTGAAAGAAGAAATACACTCACATAAAGATGTCTAAACCAAATCCTCATAAAGATATGGGATTAAAAGTACATTTTCTAGCTTGTTTTTCGGCCAAAAATGTAGCGTCCCTTTTCACCTTGACAGCGGCCACAACGGAATTGGCAAACTCAATTATGCTATCAATTAACGCAGATGGCGCTCGACTTCTTTGCTCAATGCAGAGCTAGTTGGCTGCTACTCCAAAGAAAAACGAAATAATAAAATATCCGAAATTTTTGTTGGTGTGTAACAATTATGTACAACTAATCTTTTGGATAAGTTTTAATACTCACGACTATAATAAATACAGACAATGTAACGTTTAGCAGACCTAATGAAAGCGTAAAGTTATTACCAGTTAGATGAAAATAATAATAATAATAATAACAAAATGTGTTAGGCATCGTGGAGGCTACAGGCCCATTTTGTGCAATTGCGCCGAGATAACTGCCGGGGGGTAATAATATTTGTGTTTTCTTCTGTCTTACCTATTTTTCTAATACTCAATTAGATCCGCCAATAAATTGTGTAATTTGACGTATGCGAGTGATGATAGTTTCTAAAGTAAAGCTAATATTCCTGAGATAAAAAGCGAAAATGAAGGGTCGGATGAAAAACATTGCTCGTCCTGAATGTTTATGTAACATTGGTAACTATACATGCGTGCGTGTGTTTTTTTTTTTTTTTTTTTTTTTTATAGTTTAAACAAAATTAGAATACAATACAGTTATAAGGTGCATTTTAATTCACAGATATGTTGTTATACGAAGATACGAATGATGGGTAACTACTTTTCTCTTAGAATTTGTACGGAGCAATCAGCCAATTACACTGGCGAGTTAACCCTAATAATAATAATAATTTTAATTAGCACAATATATATATTGATAATAATAACAATGATAATAATGGTAATTATTAGAACAAAAATTATGATAATAATATTGGTAACATTAATAATAACAATATAGAGATGATTGGTACCAAAAGATGAAAGAATAACAACGAAAAAAAGGCATACTAGATATCCTACTATAACTGCTATGCTACTTATACAGTACTATACTACTACTACTACTACTACTACTACTACTACTACTACTAATAATAATAATAATAATAATAATAATAATAATAATAATATTACTACTACTACTACTACTATTAATCATAATAACTCTCTTATAATAATAATGATAATAATAATAATACTATAATTAATGATTATGATGGTGATGATTGTCATAGATAGGCGGATTCAAGGGCGTGGGGCTGCAAATATAAAGAAGGGATGGGTGACTAGGCCTATAAATCAGGAACCGATAGGCGTCGGCGACATTAGGGGGAAAGGGATCAGAGAGAGAGAGAGAGCTCGGAGAGAGAGAGAGAGAGAGAAAGATACAGAAAGTGAGAGAGCGAGAGAGAGAGAGAGAGAGAGAGAGAGAGAGAGAGGGGAGGGGAGGGGGATGGTAGAGAGGGGGAGGGGATGGATACAAAACAAGCAGACATTGGTGATAAGAAAAGCAGGCACGCGATGTGTTCCGTTTGCTTTTATAATAAAACTATAGGCCTACATGCATGAAACGTAAATTTCCCATCAAATCGCCTTTGTTAGCACTAGCTTTTCTGATTAAATCCACATTTCCCTCTTACAAACCGCATGATTACATAATTATTATTTCTTACTAGTAATAGTAAAAATCCAATTTGCTTTCACGGTACAAATACATGAAACATAAACTTCCGATCGAATCTCTTTTGTTGGCACTCATTATCTTGATTAAAACCTTATTTTCCTCTTGGCAAACACACGATTACATAGTTTTCATTCTAAATTACTAATTTCTTTCGAACTAATAATCAAATCAATTGTCTTCAAGCTCACAACAAACAACCCGCAGCGGACTAATAACACTAATGAATGGCTATATCAATTATAATCCGGTTTATATAAGCCTAGAAACAATCAAATATAACACTTCAGGTGATGGAATAAAAATACATGACGTGGTTGGCGAACTGATACAGTGTGACAGACTATTATACTCCAATAATTCATCATCTAATACACATTTCTGGTATAGAATAACGATCGTAAAATAATAATAAGCGTTAGTCGCGCTCGGATGCATGAATAATTTTGTTTGTGAAAACCAAGGTTCATCATAAATAAATAATATTTTGGTTTTATACAATGCTCTATACATTAACAATGTCTCTATAAGCTCTTTACAGGAATATTATGTACATTCTCCACTCCCTGGGGAGCATGAAATAATACAAATAATACTATTGAAAATGTTGTTGCACATGAGCCTTGAATAAGTCGGGATCTTGAATGTTATCTATGGATGGTGGAAAAGAGTTACTGAGCAGTCTGTAATTTGTTTTCGGAAGGAATGATTGTGTGTTTGTTTGTTCGTTTGTCCGTTGATTTATTGCTTTTTCAAATTTTGACATAAAAAAGATCCAACTCCGAATGTCAATGACAATTCGGTTTCACGTTTGATGTTGACATAATTCGGGTTTATTGCATGTGCGAAATGATGTTAATATCTTCTTCTTTTTCAAGAGGGACCCAGAACCTATTGAAAAATATCGGTTTTTACTATAATTCAAATGTTAGGATGACATGCTTAGCCATTCCCCTCAGCAATTACCTTTCATCTACTGATTTTGGAAGATCAAAATTCAAATAATTACCTCCAACTTTACCCGTAATGGGTTGAAGACATTCGTTTCATTTAATGATTTGAGACAGCCAATTTAATGTCAAAATAAGAGGGGGGAATGCTGCGACCAATACCTAAAAACAAAGGTTAAGCACGCAAACCCACGAATCAAACGTTCCTATTAAGCCCCTATTTCAGAAAAGTACTTAGAAGCCTGAACCGATCACTTAGTATTGATACGAATCTGTTATGATTGAACACGATTATGCGATGTGTAGAATAGCGCATGGGGGAGGGTTTACTGTAAAAATATCAATTGTGATTATCCACATTTAGATTGATGAACGAGATCATTTCGTGTAAGTGCGCGACCCTTATGACCCTAA